ACTAGTTTATGATGCGTCAGTTGCTATTAAAGTGCAGGAAGAAATTCCAAATTCTCTTTGAAAATAAGTTTTCCCAGCTATAAATAAACTTATACGAAATATAAAAATATAAAATTTGAAAATAAAAGAGAAATCACGTCCGTTTAATTTTTTCACTGTCGATTAAAATAATAAACTGAGGAAAAATTTTGAAACAAGAAATGCGTAGTCTTTTACAAAATTTCTTTACTGTTGTACGAACTCGGTTGAAACGTAAAATTAATTATAATTAGTGCTCTAAAAATAGGAAAATTTTCTAGATCTACCCAAATTCTCAATTTCATTTGCAGAATTATTTACAACAGAAATAATAATCAACATGATAACATATTAGTTTATTAAGTAATAGTTAATTTAAATATAATTGATGGAAGTATTCAAATATGTAGCTCTTTTATAGTGTAAGATTTCAAATAAGATAATAACTCTTAAAAGCTTTAATAATTTCTCAATAATTTCTCAATTTATGTAATAATTATTCAGGTTTACCTAACTTTTCCTAAGTGTCCTAATACCTATAACAGCTGTGTTATACTAAAATAGTTAATGGCTTTAGTTCTAACAGCTGTAATAGTAATATTTCAATTTTATCCTTAGAATCAAGGTAAATACAAACTCTGTTATTTTATAATTGTGAATTAAATCAAATGAAATTTATTATTTTAGCCTCTGCACACAGTCTCTAATTGGTATTCTTTCAATTAATTCTAGTATTATTATTTGATCTCTTTCTGAAAAATTGTAGTCATTGATGTATACGATTTACACTTTGGTTATTGAGTGAATGAATATTTGGGTTAGGTTAGATTGGGAATTAAAATTTGGATAATTGATCTTTGTATTTAGAATGATTTTCATTTGATCGTATACTTATTAATCACTAAATAATTTATAACGAATTTTAGCAATATTATTCGATATTATAATATATATATATACAAACTTATATAAACTTATATATATGTTTATATCTATATATATTATTATACATATACATATACTGTATATATTGTGTATGATATAATGTATACATATATATGAACAATTATATATTTTATTATATATTTTATTATTATATTATATATAATATATTTCATTATATATTTTATTATTATATTATATATAATATATTTCATAAAATTTTCATTTTTGTAGACAAGAACAAAATAAAAACAATATATTTTCAAATTAATTTTTATGCACAATTAATAAAAATATGCACTACTAATGTAAATATATTTTTTTAAAATATATGTGTACCAAATATATTCAAATGTACATATATTCAACTTTTATAAAAGCTCTTTTTATTGGATAAATTCTTTAAATGCTGTTTTTCGAATGTGAATTTTTCATTTTTCAAAACATTTTAAATTAAGAAAAGAATTTAGCGAATATACTAAGTTGGAGAAATATTTCAATGAGTTCAAGTTGAGAAATTAAATTTCACTTAAGTCATATTAAAATATTATCTATAATTATTAAAAGAAAAATTAATTCGGTCGATGAAAGATTATACATTAGACAAGATTTTACAAGATTATATATAGAGTAAACAGAAGTTATCTATATTACAACTGTTAAGAATCTATATTTTTCGATCAAACATAATTTATTCAAAAAATATGAAATTGTCTGTAGTCTTGAAATTGTATATAAATTGTATTTATTATAAGTCTAATATGTTTTTCTCTTGAAAAATACAATTATTAAAATATCAGTTATGTTTTAGATTAATTTTATTTAAAATTTATTTCTACACTTTGCTGTCAAATAGTAATATGCTACTGATCAAATAATAAGATTTACGTAGTGAAACTTCTAATTTCATGATTTTAACACAAAAATTACTTATGAAAAAAAGTTTTGATCAAAATTTGAATGATGAAAAACATTGTAACCTTCAGTTAGGCACATAAAAGACGTAACAACATTTCTTAAATAAAACTATATTTTATCAATACAACTTGTTATTTCGTATAAAAACATACTGAATTATTTAAGTTAAAAAAATCATTGATTTAATTGTGTTTGAACGAAAAGTCATTCCTAAGTTTTTTTGGATGGTCCTTTCTTATCAAAGATATCTACAAATAGCTACTGTGTAACACATTTGGAAAAACTTTTCTTGAATCTGTAGAAATAATCATTGTAACTTTCTAAACTTTAATTTTTCATACAATTTAAAAGCGTTCAGAATTACAATATTCAATAATTTTCTATTTTTATGTATTCAAAAAAGTGATTCCTATTATTTAAAACTAAATTGGATTTGTTAACATCATGTAATCAAGAAATAGGTGATCAATTTCTGCGAATGAACATTTATTATTAACCAAGTAAGTAAATGAAATACGTGTAATTTGTATTGTAAGACAGAGTTGCGCAAAGACAGACAAATAGGTGGATCGATTTATTGGCAAAAGGCCAATGAAATACGTTTTTCTTTTTTCTGGACGTGAAAGTCGTGTCTAGCAAAGCAACACAGAGTATGAAAAACGTCGTAAAAGAAATGCTTCTTTTTAGAGATGAAAAGCTTGAATTTTCTTGAGTTTCTTCCTCGAGTCTATATAGTATTATACAGTATTTTAGTTAAATTAATTCTTTTGAATACATCTAACATTATTAATGATATTGATAATGACTGATAAATACAAATTAAATAATGGAAGACATAATTTAATTTCTTTTTAGATATATATATATATATATATATATAGAGATCAAGTTTCTGTTTTGTTTAATAGAATTATATATATACTTTTTAACACATAAATCAATATAGTAGATCGGTTTATGCAAAAATTAACTTAAATGATATTTTAATGTTTTATTGAAAATACTTAACTTTTATCTGCATTGTATAATGCTTCTATTATAAGTTTTGAAAATATTCAAAAGAATTAATTTAATTTAAATGAAATACTCTGCGTATTTATACAAAACTACAAAAACATAGAAAAACGAATTCTATATATGTTCTATATATTACATAATTAAATTTATGTATTGTGTATTATTCTATTTCAGATGAAAGTCTTGACGGTTTTTTCTATCATTAGACCGATATTAATTCGATAAATCTTTAGCAATATAAAGACGAGAAATATTTATGTAACGTTTTGAAGTCATGTTTCATTTTGAGAAAATATCGTAGTTATTTGAATATTCTTGGATTGAAATAAAGAATATAACAAAACGTTCGTATAAGTATAAACATTATACATATAGATTGGATTACTTATCTTATCTCTTTATCTTTGTCACTATAAAAAAAAAAATTTTAATTCTTTCATGCGTACATAACGTTGGTTGCTCGAAGATACTAGTATAAATAAATAAAAATATGTATTGAAATAATAAAATAATGCAATTGTATCGTAAAATTTGTATAATGATAGATGTCATAAGTATTCTGTAAATAATATTTTTGATACATAAATGGCGAATTAAAAATGATATATTAATTACATATTCTCAATTATAGTACTAATCATAATATAATAATTATAATATAGTGATTACGTTTTTATTATTTTGTTTCTATTGAAAGTAATTGAAGGTTGAGTAAAAAATTATTGAGATTTTTTCATATACTATCTAATATCTCACTGTAATTGAACCAGGTTTTATTTAAATAAACAGGAAATATAATGGATTTAATTTTACTTTATTTATTTTATAGATTTTTTAGTCATAATTTTCGTAAAATGATATTTTTGTAGAAATATGATTAACTGAATTAAATTTTTTTTAGAATGTTGTATATTTTTTTTTTAGAAAATATAACATAATTGGATGTTTGGGAATATTTGTGTCATTTACATATATTTTGAAAAATTCTAATAAAATTATTTGAAGCAATTGTAATTTTAAAGTAAAGAGGTAAAATTATCATTTTTATATTTCTAAATAAAATGATTATATCATTTATTTATTTGTTCGTACACAACTGATATATTATTGTATTTAATTTTTAACAAATTTTTAAAGTAATATTTTTGTCACTAATTTTAAATAGAAAAACTAATTGATAAGTTTTACTCAATTCCTAAAAGAAACTATTTATAACAGGATAAAAGTTTCATTATCTTAAGTGGATTTAAAAGTTAAATACTTGCAGAATAGTTTGAATGAAATGAATAATAAGATGAACTAGTTACTAGGATTTCTTTGTGTTTTGATCGTGACTATTTATTATCGTCCAATTTATAGCATACTCGTATCTGAGTAGAAAGATTAAACGTTCGATTACCATATTAACCCTCCCTCATTTTGCGAAGTAACATTCATTACAGTCTCCACTAATTGCAGTATATTTCATCGCGCCGCCATATATGTATAATTCGTGCGATTTAAACCCTGACTAATCCTATTGCGTACATTAAATAACATGAGAAATTGTTGAATGGCTTACGTCATCACAGTCCAAAACGCAATACAAGATCTTTAAATTAATAATATTAATTTCATTGATTAAATTATTGGAACTTTTACGTAGCTCGTCATAAATTTTATTATTCTGATCCATGAAATTTTTCAAATATTTATTTTTGATGAAACGAAGAAACTACTAAGTGAAAGGAAAACTTTTTTCCTATTTCCCTTTCTATTCTTTACTCTCAGTCCTTCAATCGAATATAAAATCTTAATTTGGAATGAAATAATAATTTATTATAATATTATAAATATTTCGATTACTTGAAATTTCCTTCCATAGCTTCAATATAAAAAAATAATATTTGATAGTATAAAACAACATAAGAATGGCGAATATATATATATATATATATATATATATTATATGCAACATTGACCCCTTTAATGACTTAATAACAAATAGAAAATAGAAAATAAAATTCTCTTAATGTTAATTACTTTTAAATGTTAAAAATACTTTTAACATTTAATGTTAAAAATACTTTTAAATGTATTCTACATAGAATGTAAATAATTCTTACCTAAAATATCCAAACATCCAAGTTCTGATATCATCGGGCTAGTGTTAATCTGACACATGTAACAATCTCTGTCTGATTCCTTTAGCTGACGAATGTGGAGCCGCCACGTGCCGTTGACGACTTCCTCCATGGCTTGGCTACTTCCTGTCACTCCGAAGGCGTTACCGGATACTGTGCTGGACCCGGAACATCCGCTGGGCTCATACGAGACCGAGATACGTGCATTGTGCGTTACTGTTCTTGTGTGGACTGAGAGAATTGTCTGGTCCGAGGCACGTAGCCAGCCAACCTGGAAAATCCATTGTCATTTCCCTACCCTTGCCGTGTAAACGACTAGCTCGTTACTTTAACGAAAATTTTCATGTAGTACTTGTATTCCTCGAATAACCTTAATGATTCTTTGATACATCACATTCTATTAACACGTTGACTGTTATACGAAATTTACACGTTTTGCATATGGGATGAATCCTTTAATTTTTAATATAAAATATTACGTTAAAATAAAAATACAAAGCAAACTATGCAGTATTATTTAGTTATGTCCTTTACAATTTTTTTATCGATGATATTCGTTTTATTTTAATTATTCTAAAATATTTAAAAACACCATAGTAATCAACATGTTAATCAAGAAACTGTTTTTCTTATTCTTTACTCATCTCTTTTAAAAGCATTGGATTGAGGAATAAGTTCATTCACCTTTCTTTAGTATATACATTTTGAACTATGTTACGAAAATCAAAGAATGTAAAAATACATGTGTATATTTACACACACACACACACACGCGCGCGCGCGCGCGCGCACACAGTGTCCCAGGAGAAAGCTGAATAATTTTGCCAATGTTTGGTAAGTCATTCTGAATGAAAAAAGTTTACATTATGGATTTGCTTTTTTATTTATTTTAAAAAATAGATTTTTTTTAATTGAAAGAGGGAAATAATCTTTTACATGTTTTATATCTTTTTTTACTTGTATAGATTAAAAAGCGGTATTCAAAATGACGATTTTTAAACAGAGATCTATTCGAAGTTTTAATGATCGTCTGGTCCATTTTATTAATTTCATTTCAAATGGCATTGCTTGTATTACTTCTTCACATTTTTGAATTATTGTTGTTGTACTGTCCTACAGAAAGAAGTCGCCATTTTGAATATCTATTTATAGTAAAAAAAGATGTAGACATATAGTAAAAAGTAAGATATATATACAGTAAAAAAAAATACAAAAATATATAAAAGATATGAAAGTTATGAAAAGACATAAAAGACATAAAAAATTATTTTTCTATTCCAATTACATGAAATCTGTTTTTTAAATAAAAACCAAATGAATGTATGATCTTCTTTATTTATTCTGTATAATTTTCTTTATTTATTATAATCTATCAAGCACATAAAATTATTCGGTTTCCTCCTGGAACATTCTGTATATATTTATAGAGAAATAGAATAAAGAAAATGATTAAATTTTGAAAGTAATAATATTTAATATGCTATTTTAAAAGTGTATATGTGAACGAGTTTATTTTTATACTAGACGTTATTTCATTTTATTTCTAATTTTTATAACAAGCGTGAGAATGATATAAAAACATTCATAATTTTTTATAATTAATAATTTAATTAATGATTTAATTATCAGCTTAATTTATTATCTGAAAATGTTGTCTGTCATATACTCCATAAAAATTAATAGATACGCGAAAATTAATTGAACAGGCATTACATACAATCGTGAGAGAAACGAATAAGAAATGAAATTAATTTCGGTAAATGTATTAGACCGAAAAAAAGTCAAACAGCAGGAAAAGAGAAAAATTATAAATATAAATATCAAATTAATTTCTATCAATTTTGATTATATTATATTATAATCCAGCCATTTTTTCCATTCAATTTGAAAACAATATGAAAGTAAAACAACGTTTATAAGTTTGGCTGGCATTTTCCCTTATAAAAGATCTCCGGAAACTATTTGGATTTGACTGGGGGCCGAGCTTATCTTAATCCATCCCTGCCTGCCAAGCTGCCTTGAGTGGCTTTCTATAGACCGAATATTTCATCTAGGTGGATACTTTACGGGTGGAATCTGTCGCCAGAGAAAATGTGTCTTCTCCGTCTCTACTTGCTCCTCGATCCCACGTACTTCCAACTCTCTCTTTCTAACATACACACATATTATCACCCCTTTCTATACTATCCCTTTTTTCACGCTTTCTGTGCTTCCACTTTCCTTACTCGTTCATCTTTCCTCTCGGAATATATAGATTTCGATTGGAAAACTTATTACTAAATATACTTAGAAGGAGAATAATTCTCGATTAAATTAAATTCAATAAAAAGAAGGGAAAAAACTTCAAGAAAATTTTTTCATAAAAGTGTTAAGTTAAAATATAAGTTAATGGAATTAATCTTTTTCTTTTTTTTTATATAACATAGGAACAACTTATATTGCTCCTTATGATTACACAAGCACGAAGCTATTGTTGATGTAAAAGAAATTAAAAAAGAGAATGCATGCGTAACGAGAGAATAAGAAAAAGAAAGAAAGAACAAAAATTTTTAATTTTGTCGCCTTTTAAATTCTTGAGTGACATTTTTTAATTCACTCATTTTCACTACCTGATATTATTAAAATTTCTTCCGTTCTTTGAAGTAATTTTTGAAATTATATTTAATATATGTATAATAAACTATATACACGTAATAAAAAAGAAAAAAATTTAATTTTGTTTATATTTGACTAAAAAACTTTCGAATTATTCTTGAACTTTTATGAACAAAATTAATGTTTAACCTTCTTAGTACCTGAAAATCGATATGTTTCTATAATTTTTATCACAAATATTTGGATTTAATTTTGATAACTTCATTATTATTTTTATAAATCAGTTGAAATGAATTTTTACGTGTTTTATCAAAATTTTTAATTCTTAATTCTAGATGATACTTACAATTATAAAAATTGTAAGATATTAAAATAATTAACATTAAACAACAAACAATAAATTGATATATGAAATAATTTCAAAGAAAGTAGTTGAGATGAATTGATTCGAAAATTATTTTTATATTCTATGAAGTAAATATAATATGATTATAATTTGATCTAATTAATTAAATTGAATAAATACAAATATTCATGAGAAATAATATGAGAAATAATGTGTGTTTATTTGAATCTCACGAAGAATGAAAATTACAGTATCGAAAAATAGGAATGTACTCCGATTTTGAATTATGAATGTATACTCTTTATACAACGAATTTCTTATTTTCTAACATTTTTAATATGAATAAAATTAAAAATATTAAATTAGCTTTCATAATTTTATAATTGTAAATATTTATGAACTATTTGCATTTTTGTTAGTGAATCGTAAACTAATCATTATCGTAAACTAATGAAAGTTTATTTATATTTAATTACCTTATATTTTCCAATATTGCGGACGCAGCAAGAGAAAACGACTTCACGACCAATTGCAGCTGTTTGATTTCCAACTGGAGCGATAAATACAGGTCCTGTAGCGGTGTTCGAATCTGCAATAGAAAAGGATATTTTTAAATAAATTTATGTTTTTTTAAAATCATTTTTTGATATTTTAGTTATAAAACAGAAAGAGAAAAATAAAAATTTTGATAGAAAAATATATTTTTACGTATAACATGTTTTTCAATTCGAAATATTTTATGTAGATATATTGTACATATACTGCTGAATGAAATGATAAAACTGTATTTTTTAAATATCTATGCTTAGAATTTTATTTTTATTTTTTTTTTTTTTGTAATATCTTAGAAGCTATTTCTAAAAACAAGCCATTTAATATATATTTTTCTCACTTACAATAATACAACAGAAAATAAGTATACTAAATAGATAGATATGTATGTAATATAAATAAAAATTAACCATCTGCGCTCGTAACTGATTGCGCACTATAACGAGTGACCAAACCGTACAATATTTCGTCGCTTTTTTTTGAAATCGTCGGTATGATATCACTAGATAGAAATTATTGAGTAGTAATAAATTTATTATTTGTTTTGTCTATTTTACTTAAATATACTTAATATACTTAAAATACTTAAATATACTTAAAACTGAGAAAATGTCACAATTTTGGAACAAAAAATTCTCGATGTGCGTAGCACATCATTCCAGCGCAATAGGTTAATAAAATAAATTTTAAGTAAATCAAAGAATGAATATGTTGCAAAGAATATTTTATTCAAAAATCATTTTGTTCCGCGTTATATTAGGTCATTATTATTTTGCATCTAAGTGTATTTTTTCTGTTATATTTTATGCTGGTATTAGAATATGAGTTTATTTACATCCGCATTGAAGGCTTCAGCCTTCAAAGAGGGAGAACTCATGCATATAAGTAAACATGTTTACTTAACATATTGCACTGCAAATATGTATCTAGAAGGCTATGAAATTTCTAAGATATCTATCTTTTGTTTTCCTAAATATCTCATATATTAATAAATATTTAAAACAGTATTTCTTTATTAGAATACAAAAAAATAAAAATAGATGATAGGAAGTTATAATTATTCTATCATATTTTACTTATAACTTCGTTAATATTTTCTTTTCATCAAAAGAATTGATTATTTTTCATTTGTAAAGAGTTTGAATGAAACACGAAAAATAATAATCAATTGTTTCGTTGTATACATGTAAAATATATAATAAATTATTCTGAAGAAATGTGATTTTCCATTTTCATAGAAATATATATCATTGATATTTTATAATAATGAATTGAAATATTATTCTTTTCATATCTTTAATTATTTTTCAATTGACTGCTTGTCAATTTATGAATTTAAAATTACTGTTTTCAGTACCGACTGGTTTGATGTAGATGTTTCATTATTTTTTAAAATTCTACAATCGAGTATTTTCTATTTATTTTTTATAAGATTTATATTTATTTAAGACTGTTTAAAAATTTTTTAATTTAGAATATTGTGGATATTTATGCTAATCCATATTTTTGAAATTATAATTGCAAACATACAAACTTGCCTTACGTATCAAACATTGTGAAAAACATTATACTTTGAATATACTTTCGATTGTATATGTACATAATTTTGCAGTTTTAAATTTTTTATAAATGCATAAATCCTCGCAATCTTTTTTGGAGTATATAATCACAATGTATGTTGTAGCCGAATAATATTACCTCGTTGAAATTTAAATTAAATTAAGCTGTATTAATGAAGGTAAGAAAATAAACGTGATTTCAATAATTCATGTTATCACTAGCTATTGATCTTTACTGAAATAAAAGCAATGAGAAACTTCTTAAAAGCAGTGTGCTCCATATCACTAAATTGTTTCTATTAAATTTACATATTGAACATCTTTTTTTTCTTTAAATCTTTTTAATATAAGAGAAAACAGTGACAATTTTTTATGATAAGATAATTTAAAGTTCAAAATTAAATTTTAGATTAAGACAGGCCACCAAATCAGTTACAATGAATTGATAAGCATTAAACGATAAATAAATAGATGTATTATAGATGTAGTAAACAGTCCTTTGTTTATAATACCAATTCTATTAGTTTAATATTTATATATAATAATACATATTAGCTACAACAAAGTTTTGTTAAAAAAAAAAAAATTAATAAAATAGGAAATAACAAAATATTAAGAAAATTTTTTCTCAAAACAGAGTAACTAATTTAATTAAAATAGGTATTTTAATGACGAAAGTGTGTCTAAAATTAATTGAATCTAGCATACATGTTAATTCATTGTTTAGTACAGTTTTGTTTAGTTAAGTATTGTATAGCAATAAGTATTGTTGCATTATTTAGTTTAGTTAAGTATTATAGCAAAACTAGCTCAAATTGTTCGTGTTTTACAAACAGTTGGATAATTTAAAAAGTCTATACAATAAATTCCGAAAATGATTTGAAAATAAAATTTAATACGTATTATTTATAAATAAAGTCAAAGAATATTCAAAAAAATAATAAAAACTCATTGCATTGTGTTCATTGGTATTAAATGTGATATTTCTTCATTTTTTTTATTTTTAAAATCCATTTAATATTTATAATAGTCAGAGAAAATATTTCATATAAATTCAATTTTATTTTATTATTAAATGTCGCATAATTAGAGAAATACTCATAACAAAAACACTACATTTATTTTTTACAAAAATTATTCAGGAGAAAAAAAATTTATTTAAATTTTTATTTATAAAATTTAATTTGTATTTATTTCTAAATGTGATTAAGTATACAATAATCTGAGTATTTTTTGTATTAATGTAGTCGAAAAAAAGAATTATATTTATGGAGAAATTTATGAGAAAATCATATTTGTAGAAAATCTCATATGTACCACTTCTTTGTTGTATAAAAAACTCAATCTCATTAAAATTTGCAAATACTGTAACCACTAATTCTATTTATTTCTAAATTATTTTTATACAAAATTGAAAACGGTTTTTATTTACATGTTCTTTAAAAGTGAATTAAAAACTTTGATGTTCATCATTTTTCTACAAGAACTCCAATTTATTAAAGAAAATGTGTTCATAATTTAGTATACTGTATAAATCAATATGTCTGTATAACATATTTTTTTCGATCACTTGCTGCTATTTTTATAATCTAATTTAAATTAGCATTAGAATAAGAACTAAAAATGGCAAAGAAAGTTTTTTTTATTCAACTAAATATCAAAAAACTAAATTAGATTAAATTAAAAAATTAAACTAAGAAAGTTACTATGTCTTGTAATTTTCTATAGAATAAGTTGTTTGTTCATTTTATGTAAAAGAAATTTTGAATAATTAAATAATTTGTTAACTGACCATAATAATTATTTATACAAGTAACTGATACAAAAATTAGTTATTTCTTATTTATTTCTTATTTATTTATGCATAATCTTGCAGGATGCAATACTATGCTTATCTACATCAGAAGCCTGTAAGATACTCTGCTTTTGCAGCAGGACATACATTAATGAAGCCGGGAAGAGCTTGAGTACAAGACTCAAAGAGCATAAAATGTACACTAGATTGGATTACGTTCAATCGACCGTAACAGAATATCAAAAGACTACAGTCAAGAACACAGTAAATATTAGCAGATACACTAATGATCAGCTTAACGTTCGTTTTTTCAAGTTTTTAACTACCCAATTATCCAACTGAAAGTAATATGTGGATTCCATTTCCAGTGATTGCTTGAATACTTGAAAACAAGTTTATATAAAGTTATATAATAATATAAAGTTTATGTATAATAAATATCCTATTTGACTTTCTTCTACAAAATATAATATTCTTGCTTATTTAGATTTTCATAGAGTCTTTTGGTGATTTCCTGATCAACTTATTTTTGTTGCACACTTAGTTTTCGATAAAGATCAAGTCGAGGGATATGAGTTTCCCTTCTAAGGAAATATTACAAAATAATTTCTTCAAATCAAATATTGTCTTGGCCTAATAAAAATCCTTATATTGAAGATTCAAAATTATCTAATTGTTACAATTAAAAGAAAATATCAATATTGACTTCATTAATCATTTCACTTCATTTATTTTAGCATACTGTATACTGATAAACAAGAAACTTTGTAAATTCCAATATATTGTATTATCTTATTAAAATTAACAATGAATATTTACGTACAACTTTATAAAAGATATACATATACAAACTCAGGATCAGTTGAAGTGAATTGTATGTATATAAAAAATATGTTTTAATAAAAATATAGTAAAAATTTCTTTATATAAACTTGTCAGTGAACAAATAGTTCATGTAATTGGAGTTCATATAATAAGAATTCATTAATTCTTAGTAGTGATTTCTGTACTTCCCAGTAGTGATTTTTCGTCCATATAGTAGATTTCCATATAGTAAGATGTTCAGATTCAAATAAGTAAATTAAAACCAGCAAAAGTTTAATTAATTAGATACTGACTGAAATTTGATGCAAATAGAAGGAAGATATGTAGATAAAGGAATGTTATAAGAAAATTTCGAAAATTGCAAATTTTATTCAAAAAATATTAAAATTTTGTTTATATCTACTTTTTACAAAATTTTATCATGAAATATTTTCTATCACGATTATCAGCCTATATATATTTCACTTTTTAATCCTGGGTTTTTGAAAGGCCTAATTAAAATTAGTGTTAAAAATCTGCGACGACTTTTGTATATGTACAGCATTATAATATTATACTTTGGTTATCTTAGAGAAATAAATTGTACAACAATTAATACTAATAATGTTTATTTCTTCATTAATAAGTATTTTGTAATAAGTATAATAACTTCCTGATATTAAGAAAATACTGTACCGCGTATTAAAGGATTATATTGCCTAGAAATAATGATAAATAAATATTTTAAAAAAATATGTCTGCAAGCGATACTTTATTATCAAACGCATAATAAGATAAATTTATAATACTATAATTAATACTATAATACTATAATTATAATACTATAATTAAGTAATAAACATTAATAAATAACTGTACTTACTCTGAACGTTTTCTTTTTATTTAATCAAAAATGACCATGAAGAATTTCAACTTTTATTAGTCATTTTAAATGAAGCTCATATTAAATTTATTTAGATTTTTTTAATTTTTTAATCTAATTATATAGAATTTCTTTAGTTTTCTATCCAATTAGAACTCTAATTAAAACTCTAGAATAATATTCAATAACCTTCAGGTCAAACAGCGAATTAAGCTCTTGATGACGCAAACAATAAGGATTTAATTTGAAAAGTTTTATTTCTCGGTCACAAAAAACACAGCTACTAGATGAAGTCTTCGTAATTTTTTCAGAAAATTCAGAACTTCGTTTAGTTTTTTTAAAATGTTAACTTCGAGCTTTTATTTGTCTGTAACCTTACATTTTTTTCTCTTTATCATCTTTCTTAGAAATTTGATTTAAAATTAAAGTATTTACTTTAAAACCCTCTACTTTTCTGTATAACTAATCTGAATTTGTAAATGTAAGTAATTGAAATTAAAAATTTACTAATCCAATGTCACTATTCATTAGTATTTTTTATTGTTACAATAAATATTAATAGAGAAATTGAATCTAAATAGAAATTTGTTACAAGAATATTGTACATTTTTGCCTCTTATGTGCAGTGTGTGTATATTGCATAAAAGTATATTTGCGCAGAGTAATTATGACCTTTGGTACCGTCAATATAATGTTACTTTTTTTATCTTTCCAAATCATTTATTATTTATCAAACTAATAATTATTATTTAAATCCATTTTACGATATGTTTGCTTTTTAATAATCGTACACGTATTACCTAAGTAATTAACAGCTTCATTGATTTAACGTGCAGCATACCGATATTAATATTACGTCAAGCAATCGTTGCAGTGTATCGATGTCAAACTTCGTTTATAAAATATAATTCATTTTTCTATCTTTTAGTATTTAATTACATTTACAGAAGATGTTGAAAATAAATATTTTATAACTAGGTATTTCCATAATACACAACAATTTTGTCCAATTTATAACTACTGGACAAAATCGTTGTGTATTATGAAAAATATAGGTAAAATGATGTATTTTGAATACTGTTATTATCGTAAAAATATTTAAAAAACTCGAAGAATTTTTATTTTATGGATAATAAAGCATAATATGGATAATAAAAATTAATTTACATTAATTGATTTCTGTAATGAGACATTTTAAGATATAAGGCACTGCGGTTTTATAAGTCAATATATTAAACATAAATGTTGAAATACACAATAATTTGCTAGTTATATCCGTTATTGATGACAATAATTCAAAGACTGATACATATGCTACATGACTTTGACTATTTATATACATGACTTTGACAATCGTAAATAGTTGCAATTGTCAACCTATAATGCTTAGAGATTGTCAAAAAATCCTCTTGACCTTGGATATGTGGAAGAGTTTCTTAGGTTCTCAATAACCAAGTAACATTCTAAATTCATACACAAGCTAAACTCGAAGTACAGTTTTTCTGCCTAGGCGGATGTCCCGTACCATGAATTATGTACAGATACATTTCGAATATTTGGAAAAATTTGAGACAATCCTTATTCAAAAATTGACGTTTCCCTTTCTTTTGGAAAATTAAGTTTTTGCAAAAGGATGAATCTAGGATATTGAACATTGAAATATGAAGATTGTAATTTATAATTTGTACTCTGAAATATTGCATAACTGTGAACATTTTTTGAACTTTGCGAATGATACTTATACTTGTGAGAACCTGAATTTATATGTAATTTCAGAACAACCCATATTTGAATTTTCACATTCTTAAATTCGATATTATAAATATAAATAGTAATTTTTACTATTTTCAAATAAATCAACTTGTAATTTTTATTTTTGAATAAAACAACTTGTCATCAACATTTCAGTCTCGCTGTGATTTTGGTCATGACATGTACCTACGTAGATACAACATAATCGCTTAAGGGATTAATTTGTCAATACTTCTTGATAGTTGAAATTGTTGAAAATCGTGTTTAATTTTGTAAAATCGCGATGGCTACTCATTGGATTTCAAACATGTCTATAAGTAAAAATTTAGTAAATCTAAATTCAGACAAATATCTTAGTATTCAATAATATTTCTGTATCTATTGATCTATATGAAACTTTTTCGTTAAAATATTGCCAAACCATCCGATTATATACATTAACTACATTTTTAACAACTTTGAATAATAGAAAGTCTACAAAGCATTACATAAATCTAATAGAATATATGTATTTATATAAACTTTCTTTATTGAAAAATATTGCAGACCTATATATACAATTTTACATTCATAAAAGACACATATTTGGAACAACTAAAAAATGAAATTAGAAAATTATAACTTAATTTAAGACTTTTATATTAAAATATTATATAAAATATTATAATTTAAGATTTTTATATAAAAAGTCGCGAAAGTCTATATATATATATATATATATATATATATATATATATATATATATATATGCAGATTTTAAATATTTAAAAAAAAGAAAAAGGGTTTCAATCATGTTTAGGATTTTTAATTTATTTGTTAGCTGAAATTATATAGATTGTAAGAAAATGGTGATATTTTATTAGAAAATATTAGAAAATAAATTAAAATAAAAAATGTAAAACATATGTAAAATATATAATTTTCATATATGAAAATCTACTATATCCTGTATATACTGTATGTATCATAACTATATATATGATTGCTTAAAATATACAAATGTGTTCTTATTATTACTATAATCAGAATAAATTTTATTTGATCCATTGTACATGTATGTACAGGGTGTCAAGAAATTATTTGTTATGACCTTCATAGCGCAATTCTACACCTTCGGATTAGTGAACATCTGTTAAAAAAGTCGAGCAAAATTGTCCTTGACCAGTTTTTTGAAGGTCAAATTTTTTTATGATTACATCTTATTCTACTCATTGATAAGATAAAATGTCTCCAAGGAACCATAGGTCGGAAATGATGTTGAGTCTTCCATAATTTTTGAACCCATTTTGTTTATATTATTGTTATATTTCATAATAAATTCATATGGCATATCGTTTATATTATTGTTATATTTCATAGTAAATTCATATGGCATATCGCATAGAATTTATACTGGAATTTTTACGAACTACTCTCTTAAGCAAATTACGTCAAACTATTGTTATTATTTACGTAAACCCATCAGTGGATAAACTCGAGCAAGAGCAATGACTTGTTCTTTACGTCAATGAACATGGGATCTGCTCCTCGATGTGTCCATTTCTTGTATGTAAGACGTAAACAAACAATTGATCTATCTTTGGTTCAAACAGAGATCTCTTTGTCTGTAATCCGATCTATCGGATTTATTATCTTCTCTTCGAATTTACCATTCAGTATCGACTTCTGAGCGAGTTAATCGAGTTAGATCAAAATGTGGCGAAACAAGTATACGAATGTTAGACAAATGCTTCGTGCTGTTGATGAAGCGGGAGGAAATTATACGTTAGCACGACAAATATATCGTGACAGAATCGGAAATAACGGGAGACCACTATCGTCTACAGAAATACCCGATAGACGGGACTTTCAATGGATCGATCAGCAATTCAGTGATGAAGAATCAATTTTGCGTCACGTTTCTACACACCGAAGAGCTGGCAGATCCCGTGTTCATTGGCGTAAAGAATAACGTGTCATTGCTCTTGCTCGAGTTTATTTACTGATGGGTTTACGTAATATAGCTCGGCAAGTAGGAATCTCTCACGAGATAGATCATCTGCAACGAATTATTCGCGAAGAGGGTCTATGATCCTACAGGTTCCAACGTGTTCAAGGGTTACATCGGAACGATCGTTCTACTCGACGAAATTTCTGTTGGGTATTAAATAAACTGCAGCGTGAACCACGTATTCTGCAACGATTGCTTTTTACAGATGAAAGTAGTTTCTTGAGCAGTAATATGTTGAATCCACAAAATTCGAGGATTTGGGCCCACAGAAATCCTCATGCATTGTTTCAAAGACACAATCAAGGACGCTTCGCTATTAATGTATGAGCAGGAATTATTGGAAACCATATCCTTGGCCCAATATATTTGCCTTCGTCGTTGAGAGGTGCAATGTATTTAGAATTTTTAAAACCCACACTCTTAAGTGAATTACGTCGCATTATATCACGAGAGAGACGCCACTCAGTCTATTTCATGCACGATGGTGTACCTCCTCATAATAATCGACGTGTTCGCGTATTTTTGAATGATGTGTTCGGAATACGGTGAATAGGATGCCGGCCTGCTCCACACATATGGCCACCACGTTCTCCAGATTTAAATCTAATGGACTTTTTTTTTGTGGGGAGCAGTGAAAGAAATTGTTTACCGCTCGGACCAATGGTTTAGAACAGTTCCACAATTAAAAAATCAAATTGAGATAGCATTCGAACGATTGCGTGAAATTCCAAATATTGGTCAAAAAATTGGATGAAATATGGAAGTTTGAATGCAGGAATGCCTAAACCACAACGACGGTCACGTAGAAGTTGGACAATAAGCACGCTTACTGCAGAGAATTCGGCAGAATGGGGTTATAGTAGTGGGTTAGAAGAAGAAATAGACGAAGAAATTAAGTAAGTATTATAAAATCTATGCGATATACCATATTTTACTATGAAATATAACAATAATATAAATAAAATGGGTTTAAAAATTATGGAAGGCTCAATATCATTTTCTGAGAAAAGGAGTCATTTCCGACCCATGGTTCCTTGAAGACATTTTATCTTCTCGATGAGTAGAATAAGATGCAATCATAAAAAAATTTGACCTTCAAAAAACCAGTCAAGGACAATTTTGCGGTCGACTTTTTAAACAGATCTTCACCGATTCGAAGGTGTAGAACCGCGCTATGAAGGTCATGACAAATAATTTCTTGACACCCTGTACATCAATTGTACATAGATTTACGATTTACTTATGTGTTCTTTTAAACAAATTTCTAATGAATTATTTAAGATCCAGAAAATTTCCAAAATGCTTTTTTTTTATTTTCAATGAACATAATTTATGTAAATTTTTATGTGATTACATAATAGATTAATCCATAACTGATTATACAATCAGATATAAGACAATTCTACGAGAAAGAATAAGTTGAAAAGAAGAATAAAAAAGAATATTAAATGTAAAAATTGTATATCAAGATGAAATTATTATGAATAATGATCAAGTATTGTGATGAATTAAATAAAAATTAAAAGAAATTAAAAGAAAAATGAAAAGAAAAGTTTATTTTTAGATTTCATATAATAAATAATGAAGTATCAGAATACGTTAGATAATGTTCATAAAAATCTAAAAGAACGTAATAGGAAATATTTTCAAGTAATAAAATTTTTTATCCATGAATATTTTGTTTTATTGTGAATCTTCTTTTATTTAAAATAATAAACATAAACATAAATAAAACTATAACATTATTTCTTTTTTCAACTTATTTCTTTATCTAATTTATTGCCTTATATCTAATAGTACCATTAGACACGGATCACAATGTACATGTATTCACATGGCTGATAACGAATCGTTTACCAATTGTAGCATATAGTCTCGCGGATTTTAATACTTCATTTATAATACAAATTCATACAAGGTTGTGTCCTCACGATGTATGAATTAGCTACGTATATATATATAATATATGAGTTTAAATTTCAGTTACATTCTGTAGGAACCGAATGTTGTGTTGAGAAATTAGTAGATATAAAATGTTTTTTATGAAAGACATTTTATGTCTAACGTCGAATTAAATTTAATGAAAAAAAATGCTAAAATGAAATTCATATTAAATGGTGTGATTATATTGTTATTGTTGGAATATTTTTTTGTTACGAAAACAGATTGGTTGCGTAATTACATTTAGTTGATAGTAAGATTAGATATTATTTATTTGAAATGAAAATAATAGGTGAAAAGATTAAATAATTGTTTATAAATAAAGTAATAAATAAGTAATCATTGAAAAAATTATCTATCTTTTTATTTTGGAACTAAATTTGTTATCAAATGATAGCTTATGATGAAAAAAGTTTTCAAGTTGAGTTGGCAATTAATTTTTGAAATATGATGTATCAAAGAAGTATCTACTTCCATTAATGTCATCAGTTCGAATATTTATTTTTATGCGTACTTTTATATTAGATAAATAATTTGAAAAATTATTTCTAGAGATTTTTTATTTGTTAACGACAAATTTGAATGTAGATTTCTAAAACTCAAAGTTCCATTCAAGTATTAGCAAGTATAGTATTAACGTGCTTCACTTTATTATTTTCTCTTACTCAACACAACTATCTTAATATAGAATTTATTCTTTTTGTCATCTTTCTTTTCTTTTCTAAATTTTAAAAATATTTTATTTTTCCTATGACTATAATTCAACAATTAATTTGTTCTTAACAATAATTTACAAATTATTATGTGTAAAATAATGTACATATGTAGAAGAATTGATAAACATTAATTTAGATAGCAAATATAAGTTTTGAAAATCTAAGTTCAAAATCATCATTAGCAATTAATAAAATCCCTGAAAATAATTTTTGTAACCATCTGATCAACATAAAAGTCTGCAGATTGAAGCATATGAACTGATCTGTCAATGAATATGGGTAATTTTGATCTCCGATAGTTTAGAAATTGTCGGTTCAACTGCTTATTTATTATTTATCTAAAATCTGTTTCAAAATTGAGGGATAAGAAAAGGCAATTTCTTATTTTTTATTCGAGAAATAAATTATTATTTGATAATTTTAAATAATAATAGAAGATGAAGGTTAACAATACTTCATTGGCTCAAGTAACCTGAAAGTTAAGAAGTAGAAAAAAGAAGTAGCAAAAAGAATATTATATAAGAATTTTGAAATAAAAATATTTCAGAAATAAAAATTTTCATATTTTCTTTGATAAAATCCTACTTAACCTAAACTTTTTAACAAATATAAATTAACAAAACAATTCTTTCAATAAAAATTTATAAAATTCTGGTCATTAGTAGCGTTAATTCTACTTTGTTGAAAGTATAATATAATTATATTTATTTTAATCGACATTTCAAGAAGTAATGATAGGCTATATGATTATTAACTTGATGCAGTATGCAAAGCTTTTAGTCTACTAAATAATGAAATAATACCGCAGACGTGATAGATTGGTAGTATGATTAAATATTTAAAATACCACTGCTCAGCTTGATTGTGGCAAAAGACGTCTAGTGTCGCCCACAGGCGGAAGTGCGGGCAAAGCTGTACGTCGCGTCGGTGACGGTCGACAGTCACCAAGGTGAGGAACAAGATGATGAGACTAGAGCTTCTCATAGCTTTGCATCTTATGATTAGATGAGCTTGCGAAATATTTCCTACTATCGGTTAAATTTTCAAATATGCACTATATGAATGAATTTATATGCGTTTATATACACCGTAAAATTCTTAGCATTAAAACTCTTTAACTAGGTATGGTAAAATATCAAGTCTATACATATTTTTATTACAAGCTGATTAGATTAGATATATCTTCCAAAAAAATTCCTTTGAAAAATTCATCTTAATAAAATTTATCGTTTTTACGACGAGCATTCAACATTAATTACTTTACACTAGTTTAATTATAATATTAATTGTTTTTCAAAATTTATTGCTGCGAATGATTCTGAACAATTTTCTGAATTGAATAACTAAGGAAATATTGTTATGAGAATTACAAATTTTCGCTAGTATTTATATGTTTTGACCACTATTCTTCGTATTACGAATTTATGTTTTTATTTATATATTTGCATAATTTATGTAGCAATTTATGTAAAGTTACATAATAGATTTCACATTTAGTTTTAATATAGTAAAACGAGTATCAAATTTTTATAAAAATAATCTTAAATTAATTGAAAATTATAACTTTGTTATGAAATAGTTTTCATATTAGGCAATTTTATCCTTTTCATTCTATAAAATTTGAAACTCTTCAATAATTTCTTTATTGATACAGAAAGACATTTATTTTAATTGTCTCTATTTTTATATTTTGATGAATTATCTTGTTTTATTATTCATTAATTAGAATTTAAAATTAGCGTTGTGTTTAATTTTGTCTCTTTTTAATTTTATCCCAAGAACGATATTTTCTGTCTTGGTCTGTGAAGCAAAAAACGGAACAAAAAATCCAAGTGGAAAAGACATCAATAGAAATATTTACATCTTCCTGTTTTATAAACCTAAACATATTAAAAAATAAATTTTTATATAATCCGTTAAAAACATTAAAAACTTTTTATTAAAAATATTATTTAATTAATATTAGTCTAATAAATGGAACATTTTTTAAATATTATATATAAAAAGCAGCTACGAAATTTTTTTCGGTATTTTTTCCATTAGAACTGAAAGAACGAAATTAGAAATATTTCTTTTAATAATAAAAAAGTCTATATTTTTTTATTTTGTTTGTATGAATTTTTATAGAACATTAATTACAGAATTTCATTATTTAGCTTTCAATTATACTAATTTTCTCAAATTCTAATTCTAATACTAATTTCTCAATTAAAATGTACATCGATGATATGTATAATTTATATATTTTAAAAAGTGCATTTTATTTTAGATGAAGTGGAAATTTTGAAAAATTCAATTTGGTGCCTTTTCTAATTAAATTTATAGGAAAAAATTCTATTAATTTATTGCTTATATGACTGTATGATATTTAGCTTTACATTTTTAATTATCTTTTAGTATATGTGAATATTAGTAAACAGATTAAATTTTTGAAACTATCACAAACATCTCTCTAAGATATTCTATATAATTTTATGTAGAATATTATTTTTAAATATGAAAATAAGAAATTCAAAGCGAATACTGACTACTACTGGTTTATGTTAGATTTGTGATTCAGATCAAAATAGAGAAGATAATATTTAGAAGATAATTAATTAACAAACAGTGCTTATAAATACTTTATATTGAATTATTATAATACATTAGAGTGGCTTTCTTTTACAGTTTATAAGACTTTAAGTACCCAATATTTTTCATGCAGGTATATTTCTTCTTATTTAGACATTTTGATATGAAATGGTATAAAATATTATAGTTATAATATTTTTAATATCATATTTTAATTACGACATAAATAAATTTTCAGACAGATAAAAAAACCATTAAATAATAAATGCTATAATATGCGAGATCACTACATTATGCATTATTCAACAACGTGTCGTTGAGATCATTAATACCATTTATTATTTTTTATTATAGCGAGACTAAAATCCATTGATGACAGTTTTAATTGACATATGTAATATAATATAATTTTGCGTTATATTATTACAAATAAGACAGAAGAAATAAATTTAAAAGTCAATTGAAATGTTTAATACGCATTTATTCATAAATTTCTCAGAAATAAAAGTGCAGAGTTTAAAAATATATTGCTATGGATACACAATATTCATTTGTAAATGTATATTATTATAAAATAAAATATTTAATACAAAATAAAATTACAATTATAACAAAGTGGTACAAAATACATTTTTTTCTCGATAACAAATAGATCATGAATACTCGTGAAAATATATATACTAAAAAACATAACTGTATTAATATTAATAAAACTATCGATAATTTAAACTAACATAACTTGGTAAAAATAAAAAAAAATCATATAACGAATTTACACAGCTTGGTAGACGAAATTTGCGAAGAATGATCGTATTGTATCATCTTAGATTACGATTGTTGTTAATACTGAAAATAAAATGCATATAACACTGAAAAAAGAGAAAAAGTTGGTTTATTAAAAATGGTTGAATCGTTATGTATCGACACATTCGAGTGTTTTCTCAATGGTACGAAATATTTCACGAGTTTTAACGGAACAGCGCGACATTACTCTTGTCCCGTACGCTCTGAGACGAGATTTTTTCTTTCTCCGTTCGTATCTTCATTTCTGTGTCTCTATCCTCTTGCGTTTCCACGGTCCTTTTATTTTTTTTTCTCGAGCTGTGTTGTCTTTCAATTTTCTCCTTTGGAACGACTCCTCTCCCTCTTAACTATCGAAAAACGTGCATGTCCGCGAGTAATATTCGAACGGCTCATAGGTTTTTAATATTTTTTTGGAATAAATCGTTAAACAATGAACAGGGAACAGAAAACGGGAAACGACAAACGATAAGTGGAAAGTGACAAACGATTGAAACAACAGAGAAAGGAAGATTGAAGTGAAATTGGCGAATTGAAATTTATCGTGATGTTCGTTTCAGCGTGACGCGACATCGATATATTGACACGTTTCGGGCAAGATCTACAAAATTTAAAACGATTTACTGCGAACGTTGACATTGAAATGACGGACATTTAGCGGTTGCAGAACGTTCAAACATTGAGAGACGATACACGATGTGTTGGTTTTTTTCTTCCGGCGCCATTTCTTCTCGGTTGGAATACCTTCTGTTTTCACAGGCGTTCTCATTTATGCGGCTTTCTACCTCGCCCCGTGTTACTCTTTTTGCTTTCCCTTCCACTTGCTCTCTTCTTTTTCGCAGACGAGCACTACCTTTCACGTCTTATTTTTTTCACTCTTACCCTCTTCTCGAGCTTATTCGTCAGTTCTCTTCAGGAAGCAGAGAACCCCTCTCGACGTAAGTAATATCTAAATTGCTTCCGTGGTTTCATTTATTTTTTTTTTTTTTTCTTAATTCCGGACTTATTGGGGTAAATTGGGATAAAATTGTTGTGAAACCGTAAGATCGGAGACAGAGAATTTTAATATATCTTCCATCAATAATAGAAGACTTACTTTCTTTTCTATTATCTTCCTTTCTGTATTTTATTTTACTGTACGAATATTTGTTGAGTGTTTCCAAAATTTGTACTGTCATTTATACAGAATATTTATCGTAACAATGATAAAAATTTTTTAGTTACTTTTGATGATCTGACAAAATATATCATGAATAAATATCAGTTATCACTTAATAAAGTACATAATTGAAAGTATCAGGATTTTTCTTTCGATGAAAAATTAAAAATTATTGGTTCTTTTTTAGAAAATATTTTAAGTCTAATAATTTAAGTGATTAATAAGTTATAAAATGGGATGGAATGTTATTTTTATCATTTTAAGTTTATAAATTCAAAAATTTAATAATATAAAATAATATATGATATAAAGAAACTTAAAAAACATTTTCATATTAATAATATACTTGAAAAATATATTTTTTGCCGTCATTTTTATATGAAGAATGTAATACGAATTATGCCACTATGTAATTTACTTTTTAAATTCATGTTTATTAAATTTTTGTTTATAAAGAATATGGTATAAAAAAATTTTATAGTGACCAGATAATTTATGTCATACAAAATTATGATCCACAAGCTTAATTTGTTTCTACGCATTAAAATTCCGTGAAAATAAAATAATTTATTTTTGTTAAGAATATATTTCTTGTAATAGATGAAGCAGTTAATATAGTTTGAATCTCACGCAAACGATTCGATGGTTAACTTTATGTACCTCCAGAAAATTCAAAATAACATTCCAACTAATAACGAATTCAAGGAAACTTTTAGCGAAGCTAAATACATCTATAGCTAAATCCCCCGATTTACACGGTTCTTTATTTACACGATTTCGCTTTGACAAAATTTTTTAAATAACGGATTTTAAAAGAAAAACTGGTAAAAGTGAACATTTTGGCTGCATACATCATACTAATCAGGAAGGAAAGATTAATAGTCTGCGAAAGTGATTTAAGTAATTAAATTTTTGGTTAAATTTTTTAAGGATCTTATATTTCTTATTTCTATATGTAAAATGAATTACATATTTATATTTTTATATATTTGTTTCATGAATGGATTGTTATTTTTATGTTTTTCAAGATATATTACCTTTATTTTACGTCGAAATAAATGACTGAATTATGCATATTTTAGTTTGTTTTCGATTTACGGTTTTACGTAACGGTTTTACGATTTTGATTTACATGGTTTTGAGGAATCTGTCTTCAGTGTAAATCGGGGGATAGGTGTAATTATATATAGAAGAATTAGAATAAAAGATTAGATACAGAGTATTTCATTTTTATTTCGCTAAATTGTAACATGTTCTGTAATTAAAAATTATAAATACTTTATTAAAAAGTAACAAGTATTAGTATTAGTAAAAAGTATTAAAATTATAAATGACTGGTCGTTCGTCATATTTTTAAGGTTCTTATTTGAAATGTTGTTCGTTGATAAATTGAATCTGTTTCCCGAATTTCATCCCGATCCTTTTTTATTTCACTGAATACTGCATAAATTTTTCATATTATAGTAAGGATCATAATTGAAATAACGATAAAAAATTGTCTATACTTTGCAAAAGAAAATCATATAAGAATCCACTTGGTCTCATTTTGAAACGAGAGTCTCTACTTTGACTGTCCAATGTTCGTTTTTGCCAAAGATATTTTATTTATATTTATAATTACGTGTTTAGGTAAATTACACATTTACATTCTCAGATTATTAGTGACCACAATAGGTTTTACGATAGAGCAGGTATGGCTGTAATAACTGGTATAATCCTATATCTTTCAAAAATTCCAAGACTTTTTTTCCGGGATATTCTTTTTGCAGCATTTTGAGTGATTTCGTGGGGTTGTATTATTTCCTTTTATCTTCGTATTTGGAACAAGCTGTTAATATATATTCAATGAAGATAGATAGAATGTATGTATTACAGATATTTGGCTCTGTTTGTGATTAGATAGAAATGTGTCCAGTTTGTGTGGCCTATTCTTATTCTTGTTAGTAATATTTGTTCTTTTCTTTTATTCTAATGCTTATTCAGCCGTAAAGCCGGGTTGGCGTCATATACACTGTTTTGAATTTTGTGTAGCTTGGTAAGTCTTGCATTTTTCTATTCTTCGCCCCATAATTTTATTGTCGCGTTGATGAAATACTTTTGGAGATCTTTGTAGAATGTGGGTTCATGATTTGCGGAACATGCAACAGAGCTAGCTAGTTTTGTTGTTGAATCGACATCTTTATTTTCTTTGATGTCTACATGTGTTAGGATCCACGAGAACAAGACGTCTCTATTTGTATGTGCAAATTTGTAATTTATTTCGATAATAGTTTGGATTATTCTGCTATTTGATTCTAATTTTTTTTAGAGCTGTCACTACATTTTTGGAGTCAGAGAAAATTATATTATATATTTGTTGTATGTTGATCTTTTTATGTATGTAAGAGTTTGTAAGGTGGCAAAAGTTTCACTGTTAGAGACTGTGAATATGTCAGGGAAACGAAATAGCAATTTGTCTTCGGGGCACATACCGCACATTCGGTCCTTCCTTTGGGGATTTTGATGCTTCGGTATATTTGTTTATGGCTTGAATGGTTGTAGGTTAATTTTCTACAGATTTTAAAAGATATTAGCTTTCTGTGTGTTTCAAAAGCTATCGATTATGGAGGGGGTAATTATTATCTATGGAGGGAATTGATATTGTCTTCTTCACATAGTTGGAGGCATATCTATTTTTAGTTCTTGGAAATATTTTATGAACCGAAAGTTTAAGATGTAGGGGATGTGTTCCTCTGCCTTTTGTCCTATAGCTAGGATTATTGAATATAATGTGACACATACTCGGGACATAGTACTGTTAGATAATTTTGACAGTTACTTTATGAGACTGACTTTGCTAACAGTCATAAAATGCTCTATTACTATCATGTGGTTGGGAAAGACACAAAGAGACCTACATAAGAATCGACTCCAACGCGCCAAAAGTTCAGTAAAACGGCACACAATAAACAGCATGCAACAACAGTACACAGCGGCCAGTGAAATAATAAATACAAGTCTAACCATGTAATCAATCATTCGATTACTCTCATCGTGGATTCCTAAGAAGCATTTTGGTAAGTTGGGCTTTTTTGTAAAATCTTCGGGTAGGGTGTTGGTGGTTATTATGTTGTAAACAGGATTTGATAGTGTTGAGTGTTTTGATGCTGCGTAAGGTAGACTTAGTTGTTTTCTTCTAATTTCTAATGGTGGTAAATTTGCTTCGCACAGAATTGCAGTCACTAGACTTGTGCAGTATGCCCCTGTTGCTATTCTAGCTCCTGCATTGTGTACATTGGGTTCTAATATTTTTAGCGTACTAGGATAGCGTACTAGTCGAATTTCGATAGCACTGAAGCTTTGTAGAATTTATTCAGGACTTGAAATTCGACATTCTTCTGCAGCACTCTGTTCTGAGATATTTTAGGAATGGACTCTAGGTATATCTTTTGTCTAAGATTAGACCAAAGATTTTGGTGTCCGTTCTTGTGATTTGTTGTTATCCCAAGTACAGTTGCAATTTATGATTTTGTGTTTTCCTTGCTTTTGAGAAAATGGTGACGGTAGTTTTATCTTTCAAAAATTTAAAACTAATCTGTTGGGCATAATCTTGGAGTTTGTCTAGACAGTTTTAGACAAACTGACTTGTATTTAAATTGTATTTAGGTTTTTTCCAGTAATGAAAAATGTGCAGTCATCGGTAAATAAAGTATATTTGACTGGTTTGGGAAAAACTGTCGTAATATTATTTATAGGAATAAGGTTATGCTTAACATTGACCCTTGTGGCACTCTATTTGAGATTTCAATTTTATTTCAAATTTTGCTATTTGCGCAGACATAAATAAATCTATTTTTTAGGAAATTAGTTATGAATTTAAACATATTGCCTTTTATGTTCCACTGTTGAAGTCGTTAGAAAATTCGGTATCTCCAAAGCATATCGTATGCCTTTTCGATATTCAGACATATTGCTATTAGATGCAGTTTCTTGATAAAGGCTTCACAAATATTTGTCAAGTTTAATGAGACTGTTGATTGTGGAGCGATATTTTTTAAAGTTTTGGTTTCTTTCTAGTAGGTTATTGGTTTCTAGATACCATCGCAATTTTGTATTTAGTATTTTTTTAATAATTTGCACAAACAGCATGTGAGTGTGATAGGTCTATAACTGTCTGGGTGGAATTTGTTCTTTTTGGATTTTAGTATGGGGGCTGCTATTGCTTCCTGCCACTTGTTTGGGAAAATACCGTTCGACTATATGCAGTCGTAAATTCCTAACAGATAGAATAATCCAGATTCTGGTAGTTTTTGTATAAAAATGTTGCATATATTGTTTGGTTCTGGATTGGAGTTTTTGGTGGTTTTTATGGCTAATTTTAGTTCGCTGATCGTAATTTCCGAGTTGAGAGGCTTATGATTGTCTGGAGGTTATTGACTTTATAGCTTCTTGATTCTTCTACATTTATTTTGATTTGGAAAAAGTTGGGATCAAAGTTTTCAAAGTTACCTGAGTTATTTGCGAAGATATCGGCAGGTTAGTTATTTCCATGGAATCTGTGACAATTGTGTTCTTTTACTTATTTTTTTTTCATTTTTTAAATTACTTTCTTTGCTGTGAGTTTTTAATTGTGATTTGAAGGTTTGCATTTTGGCTATTGATTTTTCAAAGTTCGAGTATGTTTTCGAATATCCGAACACTCTGAGCTGGTTAGCGAGCATGTTATGAGTTCAAGTAGTAGATTTGGCCAACTTTTTTATGATTTTAGTACAATAGTTTTTGATCGACCGTTTTGTGAGGTGTGGATGAAGCTCTCTCACAAAATTTATCAGAGCTTGTTTGTCTTCTGTGTATTTTCTAGCAATCACTTTAGTGTTGGAGGATCCGATTGAGTTTTCTAGAAAACTTATTATTTGGCAGAAGTTTATTTTATTTGGTTCTTCTACTATATCTTTAATTGGTTTTAGCAGCTCTTCCATATTTGTTTCATTGTTTGTTATGGTACTTACTTTCTTCTTTGATTGTTTGCGGTTTGTTTCTCTGAATGCGATGTTGTGTCCTATTTAGATCTGTAATGTATCATGAGTTTTTGATTTCTTCAAAGTTGATTTGAATCTTCCGTTTTCCGATCTTGTACGTTTTAATAAATTAGCTATTTATGTCCGTATTTTCTATTATATTGGTGTGATTTGAGTTTTTTGGTGCGTCTGTGATTGTACTGCTGGGTATGGATGGGGTTGTTTCAACTCCTTGGATGTTAGTGGGGATTTTAGTTAGTTTGGCTGTTTGTGGTATATCGAGAAATTGTTGGTTATCATTGGCTTGACACTTTTTGCTAAATGCCCCTCTAATTTACATATAAAGCATTTCAATGTGTCTGTGGAAAGATAGATTCATGTGGTTTGGTTGTGTTCGATTTTTATGAAATCCGGAACTTTTGAGTTGATTTTCTTTTCACGCCCAATTTATCGAAAATTTCTTCGATTAATGAATGTGGAGTCGTTGGATACATGTTTGAGCGTTGGAATTTGCTGGTCTTAAAGCTAGATTAATGCCATTAACTAAAATATGTTTTCGTTCGTCCGTGATGCCTGCGATTTTCTTACTTGTCATAAAAACACATATTCTATTGTTGAATATTTGCGAAATAAATCTATCAAATGAGGTAGTTATTTTGCTTAATGTATAAACATAATTTTTTATTTGGATTACATCTTTCGCTTCAGTTATTATGGCATGATTCTTTTTTGAGAAACAGTCACTGTTAACAACATTTGTGTAACTTTGTCGTTGTTGGTTTGGTTGCTGTTGTCTTGGGGTACGTTACTTCCATTAACGGAGGCCTTTTCAGTGAAAAAATTGCACCGATTTAGCCTAAAGAATATGTTAATTGTTATTTATCACTAATGTTCACTAATTTTTCAGACAATTGCATATAGTTATACTGTAACTCTTGAACCAGGTATACTCGCTGTCAAGCACGTGTGTTTGTAAGCATAATCTTTCACTACGAGGGTCTCTGAAGAACTGAAAGACATTTTTACATCATGTAAAAGTGAGAAAGTAAGAATAATTTTATTCTTAAAAATTGTAAAAATTCAAACATTCGTAAAAATATTAAAAAATTTTTTTCGTAACTTGATTCCTCATGGTTTTAAAAATTGAAATTTTCTCTTTATAATGATTCTTTAAAACTTTTTTTTTGCAATTTTATTGAATTTTGAACATTAAGTTTAAATGACGAAATATTAGGATATTTTGAATTTTTGTTGTTTAACTTTAATGTTCAAGACGCAATAAAATCACAAAATAAAGATATAATAAGTTTTGTAACTTTAAAGGCCGTAATGGATTTAGATATAAATAAAATTTTTTAATATTTTACATATATGTAAATTTTCATAATTTTTTTAAAGACAGGAAGACTTTTCTATTTATTATGTAGTGTTAAAAATCTTGGAAAGAACGAAGAGTGTAGAAAACTTTATGTTTTAAAATGAGACTAATTGTAAATAGATTGTTATATGATCTTTTTTCAACGAAATTATAATAGTTTAATAATTAAAGTATTAATAATTTCTTATTTAACTTAATTGTGGTGCAAAATTGACTCCACGAAAACAATTTATATTTGTCAGAATAGTGATAGTAACAAAAATATTTTTATAAATTTCATAAATTTAATATTTCATAATATTTCATAAATTTTTTTTTTGAAAGCTATAACATCCTAGAAAGCACAACATATTTTGCTTTTTCTTGTATTCTACATACAAATGAAATTAATGTTATAAATGTATTCTACTCAATGAAATATTAATGTTATAAATCCATACGTGAGTAATAAGTTTTTTACATCAGTATATATCCTGATGCAAATTAATTTGTATTCGATAAACTACTTTTTTCAAAGTTCTCTACAAATAAAAATCTGTATATCTATATATACATAGTATAATAATCTTTGTATTTACAATGAACAATAATAGAAAACACAGCTTTTCTAACATAGTTAAACGTTTCTATACAGAATTAAATGAGAAATTCATCGAATATAATTTGGTATTTTTATTACAATTTTGTAATAATCCAGTTATAATTCTAGATTTGTATAATATATTTTTTTATTTTTAATTAGAAAATATGCTGACAAATAAAAACGAAGCACTTTGTATATACCCACCAATTTTTTATATTAAGTATTAAGCATTCCACAAACCAAATGTACATATTTGCAAAACTCCGAATTCTAAAATTATTTCAGTACAGTTAATAATAGATTTATATAATTGTAGAACGAGCAATTTTCATGTCTAATTTATTTGAACATTAGAAATATACAAATATAAAATATACTTAAGAAAACTAGAGATCAATGACAAAACATCCAAGTATACCACATATCCATGACTTGAAAATAACCAAATAAGTATATCTTGAAAAATGCAAAAATAAGGCATTTCGAATATTTTCTACTAAAATAATCATATATTAGATAACAAAACATAAAAGTCAAATAGAACACATATTTATGTAAATATTTTTCCTGGTTTTCAAATGGTTTTAAATGAATTTTTGAAATGGATTCTACAGAACATTCTATTTCTTTTTCTTACGAAAACATCAGTAAATACATTGTCATATTGTTTGCTAGAAGGCTGATGCATTTAAAAAATTGTTAGAGATATATATTTGTCAGAATAAATTCTAAAAGTGAACTATTATTATTATTATTATTATTATTATTTACTAGAGCAAACATTGAGTAATATATTACAATAATACGCAATATTCAATAATAATATAAAAATATATATAATAAATTATATAATAATAATATATAGGAACAATAAAATATACTAATAAAACAACAGCAAAATAAAACAAAATTTAAAAAAACAATAAAAATATATTTTAGAAAGTATTTTAAGGTTTTTAATGATAAAAAAGATATGTAAATAATACTTTAATTCGACTAATATTTAATTAGATTAATTAAATACTTTGATTTATTAATTTAAAATTTAAACTTTGATAAACTTGTTATTAGATTGCAGATATTTATGCAATTTTATATTTTTAGGAATATAATTAAAAAAAATTTATCGAATACAATAATAACAGTGCTATTTGAATATATTATGTATCTTTACGTTGGACATTAAATAAATAACGTAAATAACGTATTAAATTTTAGAATTTTAAATTTTCTAAAAATGCATAAATATCTACGATTTCTTATTATCTAAATTTATTTAGATTTAAAAAATAAAACATTTTTACTATTCAGATAAACTTCTAGAAATTTTCGTAATTTCATTACTTTCTTAGCAAATCAATGATATCTATCAATATCAA